GCATCCAAGAAGTCCATGCGTTCGTATCCGGCAGTGGTGTCCACTAGCTGGTCCACCTTTGGTAGGGGGTAGTCGTCCTTGGGACATGCTTTGTTTAGATCAGTGAAGTCTACGCAGATACACCATTTCCCCCCTTCTTCTTCGCATAGACCGTATTAAACAGCCATTCTGGGAACTGTACTTCCCGGATGGCGTCGGCCTCCAGGAGTTTGTCGATCTTTTCGTTCATCGCACGGGCGTGGTGCGGGGCCATGCGCCGTGGCTTCTGTTTTACTAGCTTGTGAGCCGGGTCAACATGTAGTTTGTGTGTAATTATTTCAGGATCCACTCCAGTCATTTTCATTGCGTTCCAAGCGAACACGTCTGCATTTCCTCTCAGGAACTCAATCATTTCCTCCTGTTCGGCTGTGGGCATCGTGGTTCCAACTAAGAAGTATTTTTCCTCCTCATCCTCTACTAAGGGCACCTTTCGGAGGTCCTCTAGCGACCGCTCTGTCGGGTCAATCTAGGGGTCATCTATTCCTGGACGCCCGGTCTGTGATTGCTATTTTTTCAGGATCTCTCCCGGAGCGCGCCCCTTTTCTTGGGTGAAAGCCCCTGTTTTAACAACCGAATAAAAATAATTTTTCACGGATGTTTGGTCCCCTCGGATTTTCATGATCCCCTCTGGCGTGGCAAACTTCAGTTTCTGGTGATAAGTGGAGTGCACCGCTCCCAATACATGCAGCCACGCTCGTCCCATGATCACATTGTAGGGAGAGTCCGTATCAATCACGACAAACTCAGTGTTGATGGTGAAAGGGACCTGTGACAACTGGCAATGTGATTTTGCCTATGGGCAGGGCGAACGAGCCGTTGAATCAGAAGAGGTGTGTCCTGACCTTGGTGAGGTCCTTGTGGCCAAGACTCATCTGTTTTAAAGTGTCAGAGTACATTACTTCTGAGGAACTCCCAGAGTCTATCAACACCCTCTTAACGTCGAACTTGTCTATCTTCAGAGTTATGACAAGGGCGTCGTTATGAGGAGTCACTACGCCGGTCAAGTCCGCGTCGGAGAACGTGATGCTCGGCTCGCCAATCCTGGCCCTTTTACTAGGTGGCCTCCCATCATTCTCAGTTATCTTTCTTGTAAAAGCTACCCTCTTAAAATCGGACTCGGGTTCCTTGGATGTGGGGCGATCTAGCAGACATACATGAATCACATCTATGACGTTGTCCGGCTCCTCGATCGGGACAGGGGTACGTCTCTCTTCCGGCCCGGGATCTATGTATTCTTTCAAGTATCCATCTCGGACCAACCTCTCCAAGAAAGATTTTTATACCCTGCAGCTTTCGGTGCGATGGCCAAAATCTCGGTGATAGGAACACTTGACCCTTTGATCACGGGTGGAGGGATCGCTGTGCATCCTGGGCGGTCACTTGAAGAATGGCTCATGCTTGATCTTGTGGAGCAACTTGTAGATGGGTTCCTTGAACATAGTGTGAACTCCTTTGAATGACCTCCCGGAGGGGCTAGCAGTCCCTTTCGGGAAGCATCCTCCCGCTCCCTCTCTTTTCTCTTAGGTTGGAGGGTTCTGCCTTTGCTGCTTCCCATCTCGTCCTCGATTCTAGAGTATTTGTTTATCCGGGCCATCAACTCACCCATATCCGAGGGAGTCCTTTTGGTCAAGGATTGGTACAAGTCCGTGTCCCTTGCCGAGCCGAGCCTGAAAGACGCCGCTGCCATGACTTTCGAACAGTCTTCTACCTCATTAACCTCCTTCCAGTACTGGATGACGTACTGGCGGAGGGTCTCGGATTCCCTCTGTCTGAGCATCAGTAATGATCCGACGTCTTTAGGCCGCTTACTCCCAATAATGAATCGGGCTAGGAACTGTCTTATCAGCTCCTTCCATGATCTAATGTTGTTGGGGGGAAGAGCCTCGAACCACTTCATCGCGAACTCCCCCAAGCTCATGGGAAACACTTGGCAGAGGAACCGTTGGTCTGAATGATACAGGGACATCATTTGCTTGTATTGCCTGAGGTGGGCTTCGGGATCGGAACGTCCATCATAAGTTTTGAATCTCGACACGATGAATTTTTTTGGAACATCCATCTCTGTGATACCCCTGGTAAAGGGTGATTGCATGACCTTGTCTTCAACATCATCCTGGACAGCCTTGTCCTTTCTCCTAGATTCCAACCGAGCCCTGAGATCAATTTTCTCCCCAACGAGGTGTCTTCTGAAGTCTCCGAGTTCGTCAATATGTCCCCCATTTCCTGGGCGTCGCGTGGATAGGGTTGAATCCTCCTCGGACTCATCTCCCTTCCTCCGTCTTGACAGTCCTCGTCGGAGGTCGTCCAAGGCTAAAGGCCTTGCCTTCCTGGAATGGTCGTTAAGAGGGCGTTCGTTGGCTTTTGGTCGTTTTGGGACCCTGGACCTTTCCGCTTTGTCATTTAAATGATTCCTCAGATCCTTCGTTTCTGCCTCCCGGACGGAGCCCACGAGAAAGGAATGAGTCCCTCGACCCTTCGCCAGAGGCGGCGAATTCGTTGAACCGGCTTAGGACGTTCACATTGTCCTTTTCCAACTGTCGTAATCAATTTCCAAACTTTTCTTCGATCACCTCCGCTAGTTGGCGAGCCAAGGGAGCGGATCCTCCTGACCTGATGCCCATACTAGTCTGAGGAGTAGGCCCTCTTGACTGAATAGAGACATTTTTATTCCCATCAGTGTGATCCCTTCCTCCATCATGACATGGAGCTCATAATTCAAGACTCTTTTGCTGGGGACCTTTCCCTTTTTATCGAGTATTCACCATGGTCATTGTTCTTTACAGAAAAGAAACTAGGAGAACTAGTTGTTTTCCACAGATGACGCCAGATTGTGTGTGCATGATTTTACACAATATAAATACGAGAACAAATCTCTCCCATGGTGAACTCGAGTCAGTCAATCAAATGGTCAACCTTGCTATTGGGAACAGCCTGTGAAGTCCTGTGGTAACCTGGAACGATAATGGAAGACCCACGTGGATCAACGAAGCGATCCAGTAAGGCTGAGAAAGGTTCCTGGAATAAAGAAAGGCAAGTTAGAAAGGCGCCGGAGTGTTTTCCGGCGTATCCCCTTCGACGATCAAGTCAGTATTTGAGAGGGGGGGAAGAAGAAAATACTAAGTATGGATTTTAGAAAAGGTTTTTTGTTGTGTACCGTCTTGCCTTTTGAAAAGACTATTTATACCTCAAAAACTCATGATTGCTGTCAGTGTGGTCAGTAGGTGATCATTAGGTACAGGCAACATGAGCATTGATTTCTATGAGGAATGTCTTCTCTCTTAACTACTTGGGACCCCGAGCAATCAATGCGCCGCCATCGGCCTGCCGAATATTCAATGAGTTCTTCTCGACAAGAGAATAATAAATGCCCAGTATCAGGGACATTTATTGTCTTTCTCTTCCGAGCCTTACCGCATTAAGGGAATGTCCTAATTAAATGCTTGCTTTCTCAAGTTGTGTGTCAGCAAGGACATCTGGTCTTTTTGTCTCTGATGTGACACAATATGCCACGTGTCCCTTCTTTATTGGCTGCATCTTCTGTCTTCCTGTGCCTTCTGACACCAATTGTGTAAGACGAGGTCATGATGACTAATCTAGCCTAGCCTAGGCTAGTGACCTGTATATCAATAGCCTCTGCGGGAGCAGAGAATGCCATCCTGGACGGTACACCTCGGAACCGAGGAGGAGGTACATCTTGGAGTCGAGAGGGAGGTACATATAGAGATCGATGTACCATATCCCCGACCGAGGAATACGTGTCGGTACGTAAACGTACTGGATGTCATTGATCCCTACAACCAGTACTTCGGGGGAGAGGGACTTGTGAACCGATGGGTACGTGTCGTGAGTACAGTAACAAGAATTTAGTGACACCGAAGACACGTGTCTTCATCTTGAAGTATTTTGAAAATATCCCATAAAAAACATATCCATCGATGCTTAGATTAGAAGTTCAGATGACTTGTACATCTCTTTAAGCTGAGCCCCCGAAATCTTCTGTGATCCATCATTTTTCTCTTCTTTGAAGTTCAGATCATAGGTCTCGTCTGCTCCGTAAAATTCAGATGCAGCAACATCCATTCCAATTACAACTTTGCCTGTGTAACCAGCTTTAGCAATGGTTGTCTTAAGCAACTCACGGCCCTCTTTGTTCTCCTGAATATTTGGAGCAAAGCCAACTTCATCACCAACATTTGTTGCATCCTGACCATATTTCTTCTTGATCACAGCCTTCAAGTGGTGAAATACTTCCACACCAATCTTCATGGCCTCCTTAAAAGTGGATGCTCCAACAGGAAGAATCATAAATTCCTGCATATCAAGTTTGATTCCTGCATGTGATCCACCATTGATGACATTGAAAGCAGGCACTGGGATTTTGTATAGAATTTTATATAAGGATTTTGTATAGAAATTTCCTTTTAAGATAAATTTTGTTTTTTTTTACATGTTTTGAAGGTGGTTTGTATAGAGTTTTTCCTTTTGCTTCTTGTAATTTTTTTGGTGATTGGAAATAAAATTTTCTTCTTTTTTTTTTATAAAAATAAATATATGGTTAATTAATGTTATGGTTTATGTGAATTTGGGTTATGAAATATTTCTCGTATATTCAATCATTTTTTTCTAATTTTTTAAATATCTTTGATAGATGATATAAATTTGTGAGCAACTTATAAACTTGTATTATTAAATCATCGTGTAATAGCATGTATTTGGTGAATACATAAGCATTCTTATATTTTTCACAATATTAAAGTGGTAACCAACAATCCTCGAGCCAACAAAAGAGATAGAATTCAAGGGTAAAATGATCAATTAATATAATTTGTCCATATCTCAATCCCGTCATCACTCACTATCCAATGCAGGAATTGGATAACACAAATTATTTTTATCCCCTACAAATCCTACCCATTGGATTTCATTGGATTGATTTGAAATTTAAATCCAAAGCACTCCACTCCAGTCCATCCATGAATTGTCAAACACACCCTGAGGATATAAATAATAGATTACTCATTACAAATCATATGAAGAAATTAAATAAATTTAACTGCCCCTGGCCACAAGAAAAATTCTATAAAAGTAGCCAATTGTATAACCAACCCACTCACAGTTCCCACCAATCCTATCTCTTTAGTGCTGTGCTGTTTGTTTATCTCTCCGAGCAACAACAATGGCGGACGAGGTGATTCTGTTGAATTTCTGGCCCAGTGTGTTCGGCATGAGGATCAGAATCGCACTTGCGGAGAAGGGTATAGAGTATGAGTACAGGGAGGAGGATTTGTGGAACAAAAGCCCACTGCTCTTGAAGATGAACCCGGTTCATAAGAAAATACCCGTCTTGATTCACAATGGAAAGCCGATTTGCGAGTCTCTCATTGCTGTTCAGTACATTGACGAGGTTTGGAAGGATAAATCTCCATTTTTTCCCTCCGATCCTTATGAGAGAGCTCAAGCTAGGTTCTGGGCTGACTATGTTGACAAGAAGGTATCTACTTCACTCAATCTTTGCTGTCGTAGACGAATACAGATCATAGAAATACCCGTGAGTAAGTGAGTGTGTGTGTGTGTGTGCCTGTAGATTTGGCATGCAATTGTAAACATGATCCGCAAAGAATTCACGAATTTGATACGGAATTAGCAGGTTTGGATAAACATGTGTTCACTATAAATCTTACTGCTGCTTTATTTTGGTGTCCTCTTATTTGATCTTTGTTCACTGTAATACTTAATTCTTCGACAATCATTGTTAGAAGTAATTTTTTGTCACATTATTGTACCCTTATTTCTCCCCTTTTTTCATAGATTGAATTAATCTTCGTATAAATCTTGAAGATTTCAATAATTTCAAGGATTGGTCTTTGTATCAATGAAAAATTTCAAGAAATGAAAGCATGTCATATAGATGGTGGGAGTAAGATCCCATCCAATTAATTTTTGCTTAATTTCATTACATTATACATCACCTACCATGAATTCATTAGATTACCCACAATTTACAAATAGGTCCGTCACCGCCCAAACACAACTAGTTATCTACCATTGAGTGAAAGTAAAAGAAAGTGAACTGAAGTGGATCTAGATGACAGATGTTTAGGATGAAACTTCCATAAGGATTGTGAATTTGGGATGAAAAAAAAACCTCATTAATTTGAGAAGGGACTTCTTTGCTAAACGTTGTGGTACGGTGCAATGCAGATGTATTCTATTGGGAGGACTGTGTGGACCACAAAAGGAGAAGAGCAAGAGGCAGCCAAGAAGGAATTGATAGAAATGCTTAAGGTGCTGGAGGGAGAGCTTGGAGACAAGGCTTACTTTGGGGGTGAAAACTTTGGGTATATTGACATTGCTCTGATACCATTTTACAGCAGATTTTACACATTGGAGACTTTTGGAAATTTCAGCATTGAAGCCGAGTGCCCTAAGCTGATGGGATGGGCTAAAAGGTGCCACAAGAGGGAAAGTGTGTCCAATTCTCTTCCCGATTTTCATGAGGTCTATGACTTTGTTGTGCAACTTAATAAGAGATTAGGAATATCATAAGAGGACCATGGTCAAGCATAAGCTTAGTTTTTTGTTAAGAGTTGAGGAATAAGTTGGCAGCACTTTGTAGCAACTCTTAGTTATTTTCGAGATTGAGAGTCAGGTTAGTAATGTTACTACATTTTAAACTAAGCGTCAAGGGTTTGAGTCATAGAACCAATCTTTCTGCGGGAGGAGTAAGGTTGTGTGCATTAGACTTTTTCCAAATTTCATATCTCGTGTAATAGACTGCAACAATGTGTAATTTTTTCCTTCAATAAATGCTTATATTCATTGTTTATGCACTGTTTTCACATTCTACTTTTCTTTTCCGACCTCCATTCAATTTATATATTAGAGATTTGTGACATCTCCCTAAGAAATTAGCTGAACTCACCTTCATTGACTCTTGCTCAAAAAAAAAAAAAAAACAAATAACACTAGATGTCGTATCGCACAAGACTTCCACTTACAACGAGGATTCATATAGATAAGTGTTACCCCAATCTGAGTGTCACGATGATGGGAAAATACTTTGTCATTGTTCCAAGTCCACACTTTAAAAATAATGAATGAATAGAACACAACTGCAAAAATGGATAAAAAGGACAATAAAACTTGACTTCGAGTATATAATGTATTCAAGATGGAAGATCCAAATAGGGGATTGTTCTACCCACAATTGTACATATTGATATGACAAGTATTTTCTACAACAGGCAACACCAACATGAATTGTTCATGTTAAGATATGTATTCCTAGTTATCTTTTGTTTTACAATTGTCATACTTGCCTATATACAAATTCGTTTGATTGTTGTTCAATATAGTGCAAAAAATCTCATCTTTTTAGGTAATCTCATGTCAGTATGGCTACATTGACTGCAAGTTCTACTACCATCTCACCTCAGCCACCTATAGGTATGTGGACATATTTTATCATTTTGCAGACTATCAATAATGATTTGTTTGCAAATTTTGCGACTTAATTCGTTGTGGACATTAGATCGAGTCTAGATTTCATTTAATGCTAAGACTCATCCGCAATCCAATGGTTAAAATAAATCAATCCCCACAATCGATCTCCAGTATTGACTATTGGGCTCAAGTAATCTAGTCCAGTTTCGACATGAGTTCGTGTGTTGTGCTTATAAAAATAATTTATCAGCTAGAGCTTGTGAGTCTGGTTAAGAGTTTGGATACTGTGGTGGTCCCAAACTTGACAAGATGAAATCCAGTCAAACAGAATGCCATAATCAGAATTGGGTTATATTGATGAATCTGTTGGGAACCAAACATCAGAGGTGAAAAAAACAATCCCTTGTCGGCCAGGTGAAGAAACTGAGTTGAGTTCATACAAAAAGAGTGGAACAAAACTGTTTTGAGCTTGAGTTTGAGGTTAATTTTTTGGGTCAAGTTTGAGTCTAATGGTATGAGTCTAGATTCTTAGATGTATCAAAGTCCAAAAAGAACCTTACGAGTCTTTTCCAAAAAAAAAAAAAGGTGCAAGTGCTACATAGAAAACAGCACACAAAGTGGGTCACTAGAAAATACTATACCAAAAGATGGGCTTAGGAAGAGCTAGCAAGTGCTTCACCCAATCGGAAAATATGACTCTGCATGTGGGGGGGGGGGAAGGACAATCAAGAAATATGCATAAAACTGGCCACTTTATTCAGTCAATCAGGAAAGGTTCCCAGAGAGATTGGCTTTTTCGAAAGGATATCAACGATTACTATATAGATATAGTGAGTGCAGATTGTGAATACCATGGTAAAGTGACACAGAACCAGACCAAGAGGAGTTCTTGACTGACATGACTAATTTTTCATATGCACTGCCCTTGTGCACTTGTACTGAAACTAGAGACTATGCATGGCAGTACCTTAATTCTTTCTGATATACTTGGCACTCAATAATTTTTGTTGACACTTTACTAGCATGAATAATGTTCTCCATTCTCTGGTAAGATGCTTCCTCTCAATAATTTGTATCCCTGAGAGTGCTGCACATGCTTTGTAGCTCTCTCATTCAGTAATTTTCTAATTTAAGTATCTTCAATCTTTTCTTTCACTGGGCATTAGGCTTCACCTTGTCACCATGTTCCTATTTAATTTGTAGTCTGATATATAAATTTCAGGTAATTCATCCCTTATCAGTATGGCTGCATTGATGACAAGTGCTTTGGCTTTCTCAGTCAAGATAGCACCAGGTATCTGGATCTTTTTACCCTCTTATGTAATTTAGCGTTGAAATATTTATTTTCATATTTAATGATACTGCCCCTAAAAAATCCAACAAGATTTCTGGAATTGAATGGTGGACTACTGTTATAATGATATTTCACATTTGCACAATGTTTGGATCTTTTCTGCTGGTTTTCTCATATGAGGGTGTTGCACATATTGGTTTGATTTCGATTGAACGCATGGCTTTGTTAAAGGTAGGAATAGTGGAGAGTGTGTATCTTTAGCTCAGCTGATGGTGGGAGATTTAAATAGAAAATTTGAAGCTGGGAACATAATGCTTAAGTTAGATATGATGAAAGCATATGACCAGCTGGAGTGGGATTTTCTACTGAAGGTTCTGGACTGTTTTGGCTTTTCTCCTTTGTTTGTCCAGATTGTGTCAAACTGTTTAGAAAATCAGTATTTTTCTGTTACTGTGAATGGTGTTCGAAGGGTTTTTTTTGTTCATCCAGAGGATTAAGACAAGGAGATCCTTTGTCTCCTTATCTTTTTATTCTTGCTGAAGAAGTTCTAAGTCGAGGTTTGAGTAGGGTGTTTCAAGAGGGGCTAGTTAAAAATTTTCATCTGGGCAGAGGATCTCTTTTGGTGAGTCACCTTCTGTTTGTTGATGACACTTTGATCTTTCTGAGGGGTGATAAAAAGGTCTTTAAAAAATTTAATGTTGTTTTTGAAGAGATATGAAGAGAGCTCTGGGCAAAGGATCAGTTTACCAAAGAGTTCTATGTTTTGTTCTAAATTTATTTCAGTGGAGAGGAAGCAGGTATTGTCCAGTTTACCAAAGAGTTCTATGTTTTGTTCTAAATTTATCGTGTCTAAACTGAATTCTTTAATGGCTGGTTTTGTGTGGTCCGGTAAGTGGGATGTTAAAAGGAGGCATTGGGTATCATGGAGTAAAATTACCTTACCCAAGGAGGAGGGAGGTTTGGGTTTAAGGAAATTTGGTGAGGTCCCGTCTGCTTTCCATATGAAGCAAGTTTGGAATCTGTTGAGAGGCTCTTCTTTATGGGCCAAGGTTTTTATTTCAAAATTTCTGAGGGGAATAAGCTTAGTTCGATGTTTAGGCAAAACTCATTTTGGCAACTTTGAACTGTTAAGACCTTTTTTTGAGCAGGTTGTTGCTGGTTCCAGGGTCCTAGTTGGGGATGGAAAAAGGACTGATTTTTTCTGTGATAATTGGCTGGGTGATGGTGTTTTGTTGCACAAGATTGAAGTTATGCCCAGTTTTTTTCCTAAAATTGCTGATCTGTTTATTAATTCTTCTTGGGCTTTGGATCAAGTGGAGGAGGAGCTGCCAGTACTTGTGAAAGAGGTAGTTTTGAATTCTGGTATTTATCTTTCCGGATCTGAAGATAGGGTAATTTGGCAGCCTTCTTCTTCTGGTGCATTCACTGTCAAATCTGCCTGGGGTCTTGCTAGAGGACAGGGGATGGGAAATGAATTTTCTTCTTCGCTTTGGAGTGTGAAGACTGCCCCTAGTGCCTTACTGATTGGATGGAAGATTTATATGCCAATGGATTCCAATATTACTAGGCTTGGTGTCTCTATGGTGAGCAGATGTTGTCTATGTTATCAGGGGGTAGAGATGGAAGATCACTTGTTTGTGGATTGTCCTTATGCAAGGGATATTTGGATTAAATCTGCGTCTGCTGCTGGATTCCAGATTATTAATGGTGAGGGGTCATTGATGAGATTTAGGAGACTATGTAGAGTTTTTAAAAAGAAATGTGTGAGCCATGGTTTATTTAGAAGCATTCCTTTGCTTATCTTCTGGCAATTATGGTTGGAAAGATGTCGACGAACTGCGGGTGAGGGGATATTGCATTCTTATTCTGTTTTTATAAGGATATGCAGTATTTTACGGTATCAGGTTAGGAATATAAAACCTAAAGCCCTTGATGATTCCTATGGAAAAGATTTTATTGATTGGTTGCAGATTAAACTCTCTTGTAAGGTTATTTGGAAGTCCGTTTGGGTGAAATGGTCATGTCCAGGGACTGGTTGGATGAAATTAAACACTGATGGTGCTTCAAAAAATAATCCAGGTCTTGCTGGAGGTGGTGCGGTTGTGCGGAATGAATGGGGAATGGTTGTTTTGGCTTCATATTTCTTTTATGGTTCCTGTTTGAACATAATTGCTGAATTCAGAGCACTGTGTGATGGACTGCTTCTTGTTCAGAATTCTGGACTGTGACTATGGTTTTTTGATTGAAAGTGATTCCCTGGTGTTGGTAAATTCTGTCTTGGGGGTTTCTGATTGCCCCTGGTCTTGCTTGGAATATTTAAGACAGATTAGAGACTTATTAGGGGATTTGAACTATCAACTGAAGCATATTTTTTATGAGGCCAACTCTGTTGCTGACAGGCTTGCGAATCAAGCTGTTCTGGAGAAGAGGTCTGCTGATTTTTCGATTCATTTGCAGCTTCCTAGCGAGGTTGGATTTGCTCTGCGTAATGATCGAATGGGACTACCGATTTTGCGTAAGAAGAAAAGGGTTTTGTTTGATGATAAGGGCTGATTGTCATGGTTTTTGCTGAAATCTGCACTTGATAAAGTGCTGATTTGTTTGAAATATTTTGAAAGGAAGGGAAGGATTTATGAGATGGGTGACTGTTACGAAGCAGCTTGGTCTGGGAGCATACTTTTGTTGATTTGGACTTTACTTTGTTTGTTTTGATAGGCGGATGTGCCTTATTTTGTGTTGTTTTCTGTTAAGGCATTTATGCCTTTCATTTGCTTATTGTAATTGCTGCTTTGTTAATAAATAAAATGGT